TGAGACAAGCCAATCATCATCAAAACACCATCAAACTCACGAAAACGTAGTTTTGTAAGCACCTTCGAGCGATTAAAATCATTTTTAAACCATAAAATCTACATGGAACAAGATTTTGGTATCGGTGATTGTCAAAGTTTTCTATTATTGAAGGACCCGTGACCACATATTATGGTGCGGAGCCATTAGTTCTGGCTTTTGATTCGTTTAATCTCGTTCTACCTCTACAAAGCTCCTGGAACATTTTGGTGTTCTTTCGACTGTTGTTTGAGAACTTTGTTTTCTTCATGAATGTCGTAGAGTTCGGGCAGATCTTGCAATCTCAAAGACAGCTACGGTACAACGTTCTTAGGCTATTACAAGAGAATGTAGGGAAGGGAGGATGGACAAACCAGGACACTGTTTCTAGAGAGAATGGATCACTAATTTACTCGGCCGCTGCCCATCTATAGTCATTTGGCCAATACATATATTTACTTTACTTTATTACAATTAGTATTCTGCAAAGATGTACATATATAAGAAGATCTGAAAGAGAAACAGACCATCAAATTGTCATTGATTTCACCGGCTCCTGACTGTATGATATAGACATCCTCACCACGAACCGATTCACCGATTTCCACATTTGTCTCCTATGATAAATTCTTGGAAATTATGCTCGTTCATATCGTATACGAATGGGTTTCAAGCCAATAAGACAATGCCCAGGCATTCACTTGCTGTCCATACGTCATCCATCAAACAAAGCTCTCAAAGACAATTTCTTTTATAATTTAGCAACTATCACGAGACTCATATAAGATCAAACGAGTTTTATTTAACCGCTTATAGCTGTGGTATTATGTTAAAAATATATACCCATTGATGTAGAGTGATGTGCAAAACTTTCGCGTCAGTCCCATGTGCAAAATGGGCGTCAGTAATGTAACGGATAGAGCACGCATTTCCGGGAAGAGTGAGGTGCGGGTTCTAGTCCCGCCTTGCGCGAAAGACATATAATTTTTATTCAGCTAACGTTCCGAGGTCTGCGTCTTCTTGAAATATACTGATCCACGCCAATGCCCATATTTGTTCGTCCTTGATGTGATTTTCCTTTTCTTTTACGACTTTTAGCTTTTGAAAAAGTATGAAGCTCTTCGCACCGAGCAATGCGCCACTCATGCGGCTTCTTCGGGTATCGTTGGGGCTGATCGAATGCATTCTACCTTTTGCAAGAACTCGCAGTTGTCTACCGAACTACGAGGTCAGTGCTGCTACCCTTCCAGACAATGGTCCCAATTCACAGACACATGGGGGGATGGAAGGCTCGGTTAGCTAAGGGCGGAATCGAACCCTCGACCATCGGTCATTGCTCATCAATCAGATGTGTGTCGCAGAGCGCCACTAACCGCTGTGTAACATGCGCGCGGTGAAACGCTAGTAGTATAAAATTTACATATGAACCTCGTGTTATGAGCTAGATCATAGAAAAAAAGTACTATCGACTGTTCATGGTGAGATCAAAGAGAAGTCGGCTTTCAAGGCTCTCAGTCCACGAAATACAAACTGAACTCGCCTTATTACTAAATTTTTTCAGTGACGCTTTCGCGACGTCTAACTGAAGGCGTTCGCATATCCGTTGGGCTAAATCACGATGAGATGACCCCGAAAATACCTGAATCAACACACGTTGTACAACATTAAAAATCGAGTTACACTGCAAAACATGAACTCTACGAAGCAAAGAGCTCACTTTTATATTTGGCATTCTGATTTTTTTAGGAATAGCGACTTCTCCTCTTTTCCTTCTGACTCTGTAGAGTTTTCCGACGTTTTGTCACTCGAAAATCTTCGATAAATCTCTGAAAAAAACACTACTGACTAAGAGTAGAATCTAGAGGCGTAATAGATGCTCAACTGCAATAAGATCGGTACGAGTACAGATCTTAAGCTCTGCACTGGAGAATTTTCGAGCAAACAGAAAAACGACGTCTCTAGAGAAATTTAGAGAGTTCAGGAGCCTGACAAAAGAGAAGAAAATCAATCCAGAAAATCCTGGACACTCCCCTACCCGTTGCGATCGTGGACCCACGGCCTCTGTATATCTGACTGGCAGCTTTGGACGGCTTATTCCACTTTCTTTGCATCTCTAACCCCCACTGTGCAGCGTCTAACGATGACACCTTGAGAGTTAGAGATGCATAGGCTGGACAGATCGTCCAGAGTTGCCAGTTATAGAGATGGGGGCAGTGGGTCCACGGTCACGAAAGGGTTAGCCAGCAAGCTGGTCATACCACAATAGAGCATGTTTCAAGCCTCTTCTTCTACGCAAGAGAATATTCATATGAGGCATCTAAAATTTTGAAATAATAAAAATATGATGCTGTCCGTATAATTCATAGAAGTACAAACTTCGTTCTAGATACGAATAGATGAATTTTTCAACAAACCCTGTCAAGGGTCGTGCTTCAAGCTGTTGTAAAAAAAAAAAGCCTTAAACTACGCACAAAACGCCCTCGTGGAGAGTTGCGATTCCACCAATTTTTGAAGTATATTTCTACTCGACTTTTTGAATAGGAAATTACGAGAGCACGCCTAGGTCTTGGCTAAGGCTTAAAAAACTGATGGGACAACTCTCCACCAGTGTCATACAAAATAAACCCATAGTAGTTTCAAACGTCTCCCTTAGAAAGGGAACTCCGCTACGCAACAAGGCTAACTGTATAATGTGGACTGTGATTATACCAAAAAATACATCGATTTTCAATTAAAAGAGAAAAGCCGCTTGAAAATAGCCTCGTCCTCTGGTGAAATGCAGAAAGATAGTTAAAAAGACCGCAAGCAACATGATCGAAACATAAACGCACATTACTGACAGTTATTGGGTATACAGTGTATATACATGCATATGTAGATATGCTTATGCATGCATATCGAAAAAAGAGTGGTAGCAAAGCGATGGTTTCGGTAGTGGCACGCGTCTCTAATACAGGTCATACGGGAGTTCAAATCCCGTCAAGGATCGAGTGCCTTGCCATGACCACACGTCACATAGGATCTTAGCACTTGCATTCGATTCATTTCCTCACATTCCTCGTGAGCCACTAGAGTAGCAAACCCCGGAGAAGCTCAAAGCATTCTCATTACTATGGCTTAAGGAAAAAAGAGAGAAAAGTAAAAGTGGAAAAATTCGGCCGGTAATAATTTAGAATGTTTCACAACAACAACAACGACAACAGCAACAACAACAGAAAAACTGTCTAACTTGACCTGAATTAAAACCTGTGAAAGAGAATAAGCCAGGTTATGAGGGGCAAGCTGGTGTTTCGACCAAATCCAAACATTAGCAGGGACTTTTCCGTTTACTCCGCTGAGCATAGGAGTCCAGCACCCTCATGGTGTTGTCTTCCATTGGCCTTCACGGTGGAGGGGACCCTTCTTCAGGAACGAAACGACTCCTATAGCTACGGCATGTAAATCTGGGTAGAATACAAAATGTCCTAATGAACGTCCTCTTCGCTGTACAAAAGGTGTTTGATGGCGGCGCTAAGACGTACAGTCATCTGTTATTATTAGAGTTCATCGACCGATGTGCTATTACTAGACCGTTTCCAACTGCTGTGGATAGATCACAAATACACCAACATTATTCCTTCATTTCTTTATTGCTCCCTTAGCACTCTATCGAAGAATAAAGGACTTGACAGACCGTAAAATCTTGCCAAAACTCACAATCTGGTGCACAACGAGGCCTCGGGATTAGGACAATGCCACTGAGGACTATGCGGCCAGAGTAGATCTGAGAACCTGAGAAAGAAAAAAGCAAAACTAATTCTGACCCGTCAAGGTAAAAAGTGGTGGCACTAAACCTATGCCGCTTAAGGACCAAATCTCGATAGACTTCTTTAACTGATTGACTTTTGCGTTGATCTTTGATCAATCAAGTGAGAGCACAATCTATGGCTATCCGGGAGGATAGTCAACGAGTACACGAGGGAACGACAATATGAAGAAGACATCGCCAAACGGTGATAGGGGCGTTGGCCGCTCAAACCTCTTGGGAAGAGTCCATCGATCACTCTATCTGAAAACTCTGCATTTACTAATCAGTCAACAAAAACTTGATGATCGATTGATAGTGCCGAAGTTGAAGGGAAAATTCGGTTCTCAAATTCTGTGTTTACCTTCATACTTAGTAATCTTATCAGCGCCTGATAAGGTGTCGCATCAAAGACCACACTACCTGAGATCGCGACTGCTATGTAAACATTGATATTCGTATCACATATATGAGGTAGCAAGGAAAGCCATTAATGAAAAGAGCTCAACGGAACGAACCAGCACTTCGATGTGACCCGAATCCAGCGCTGAGTATGAAGCCACGCCCGAAAGTCATTTATGGATGGCGATGTGGTCGGTGTCCCGGATCGCTTGAGAATGACCCGGGGACGCTGCCACGTTTGGCCCATATCCTTCGACCCCGTAAACATCATCAATCGAATAGGTGTGGCCACAGTGACAATTACTACCTAACAACAAGTTTAGCTTGATAGACGCGATAGAGACGCAGTGTAGGCGCCCTCAGATTGAACGAATTTTCCCGCCTTATCTACAGCAATATTTGACCGATCAACACTACTTAGAACTCTCAGTTCACCGCCTCTATAGCAATGCTATGATGCTATAACTACATGAGAAGAAATGCTGAGAGCTATTCAAAACCTTATACCTCAAGCGGAAGTCGAATGCGCATGCCACTCTTTCCGAAGGCGCGCGTTAACCACTGCACTATTGGGTCTCCTCTTCTGCTATCACTCTTTCTAACATGACTATGTATCAGCCTCTAAGCTTACAATTCTGCAGTGTGAATATAACTGGACATAGATCGAACACCGTGTACATATGGTGAACACGTAGCATATTAATCTTCACTACTTATGTTTCTACTAACTCGACTGCTTTATGGCAGCGGTATGATGCTCTGTATACATTCAAGAAGATCGAGTGGTACACAAATTCGACCTCAGTCGGGAATGGAACCCGCGTTTCACCGCTACAGGGAGGGAGTGCTACCACTACACCATCAAAACCACCGCTTGGTGACCAATAACAACAATAATACACCTTTTTTTTGACGATGTCTCAGATCGAAGTCACCGACTGTACATAAAGCACGATCATGATGAAGTTGTTAAAGCGATAGTAAGCATAATGGAACTGAGACAGACGATGGTATAACGAGATTTCCCTTACAAGTCATAGGTACTGAAGATGCGCACCCCTCGTTATCATGCTATCATATCAGAGCGAACAGCGAATCCGCTCATAACAGACTACTAGCTCTCCTAACAGATGTAGTCGAGACTATAAGTCGTCTCCACTTGAGAACGTGACAAGCTGATTGAGTAACGAATAGCTAAGGCCATGTTGAATTACGCTAGAACGTAGGCGATGAAAACCTAAGCGAGACCCTCGATGGCGCAGTGAACAACATGTGAGCTACCGTAAAGGTATCCGCGCCTTTGAAGCTCGCCTAAGCTTGCGAATTCTGTTCGTATCTCAATATTCTTACAGTTACGTGCCAATTACAATGAAAATCCCCTAACTAAGCACAATAGGCGATCCTCTCGAGATTTCTCCTATCACTCTCACCAGATGGGATGTGTGAATCAGTTCCCTTCTGCTCAGAGATTGTTTTCCGATAAAGGCGACTTGTCATATAGATTGCGAGAAACGGCAAGTTTATAAGGATTTCTTCCAAAAGACTTAGGTCATATATGACTTGTTCGTTTGATCGGATTCTGTGGAACATGTAAAAATCGGACCCAACACTAACTGACGACACTATGCCGCTACGGAGGAGACATAAGATGTTTCAAGAATGAAACGATTACCACGACAGTTACATTCAGTAAGTGACTTCTCGGTCAAATAACGTCTCTTCTTCTAGCAGAATAAATGCCTATGGAAGAACTGTGCTGTACCTAAAGTCAAGCGAGACGGTTCTCATTCTTCGAATTCTTATTCTTCCGGGTTTCTACTTACTTTTGCTGTTCTTAGCAACAGAGCATTTTCAGGCAAATCTATAGTGCGATGTATCTCTACAGGCTTTTTGTAGTCTCGCATTGAACGATTTCGAATCGACTTATCGCTTTTCTCTCAGCGGATAACTGCATCAAACTGATCGTGGAAGTATTTCACTTACATCTTTTTTGCCTGATGAGGAGAAGCTGCAATGCCACTTATCAAGGGAGATTACAGAACTGATGGCAATCCACATGTCGGGAAAAGAACAACGTACAAGTTCTAACGTATTTATGTTACAGAGTTTCATGCTGTATCGTAGAGACGAAGAGCAGAAGGGTTTTCTATGCCGTATCGCAAAGCCGTAAAGTAGGACAAAGGTTTTCTATGTCGCATCCTAGGGGCGAAGAGTAGAAGAGAGGGTTTCTATCCCGTATTGTAGAAGAGTAGCTGCTTCTCTTCGCTTTGATACCATTCTGCATAGCTTCAACCTCAGCCTTATCAAAAGTCCTGTTTTTCGTCACTTTTTCTCATCCGTAAACATAGTTTTTTCACTGTTCCAATTCCAGCACTTCTAGTAATCATTTTGCTCTTCGTCTACTTCTCGAACGTCGTAGGATATTCGATGAGCTTGATATTCTCCTTGCAATCTCGAGAGCAGCCTGGTGTGGCATTTCATAGGGTGTTCGTTGTAAACTGCGAAGAGTGTTGGCGAGAGGGGATCATTCGTATGTCGCGATGAGTACCACAACCATTCGGCCACGGCTCTCCCAAACTCTTGCTCTAGCTTATCAAAATCAATAACAGCCACGAGACAAGTTTGAGGTATACGGATCACACATAGCTGAATGCATAAGCAACGAACCCTCGTAGGGTTACAGAAACCCCGCTTAAGCACTATAAAATCATCTATAAACATGGAAAACATCTGCAAAGTTTTTCACTTTGCTATTTACGAAATCGACTCGTTTGAGGCAAATGGGGAAGTGGGGAAATACTGCTGTAACATTCTTCGAATACTTGCTGCCTGTTCAACGCCGAAAACCTTATAGTTCCGGTATACATGGAATGTTAATCTATTTCACTGCTATTGATTCATAAGCAGCACAATTCAAGCCAAGCCGACGCTGGCGGACGAAAAACGAAAATGTGAATGACGACGAAACGTTTGTGAACTGACCTTCACGACAAGAATATCGTCGACGCAGTAACATTTTGTGTTGTTTTCTACGAAACATCTCGTCAGTATCGAATCATCACGACGACAGCGGGCGGTTGTTGATGAATAATCGTGTGAGCTGGAGAGGAGAACGGCTGCGTGTCAGACATGACGCGAAAAAAATGGATCGAGATAAGCTCGCGACAGCAAAACTACTTCGTGTAATTACACGTTGGGCTTCACAATTATAGAGACTGCTATCGCTCTGTAGCTTCTTTTATGGTCTATTTCTGGCGTGTCAACCTCGAAAAGGCTTCAAAAACATACCTTTCGTATCGTGTGTTTTCTTAAGACCACAGCTCAAATTTCAATATGCCTGATAATTATTTTTGAGCCACGCATGTCAGTGGTCTATCAAAGAGGGCTGACTTATACTGCCGACTGGAGAACCCACACAGGATTGGCAAAAGACGAGAAAGGGTAACTGTCCGACTGACGAGATCGCAAGGTCGAAACACGTGTATCGGGCTCTGTAAGTCAGCCCTCTTTGAATGACCACTATCATGCGTGGCTCAAAAAATAATTATCAGGCATATTGAAGTTTGAGCTGTGGTCTTAAGAAAACACTCGAAAGGTAAGATATGATATATTTCAAATTCTAGCCAAGAACAATCGAGTGTACAACGCTCTGTGTTCAGTGATAAGTTCACTGGACATAGAGTGTAAAGCGTTCGTCGTCGCTTACTCTTAGTGTGGGGACTGGAGCACCCACAGAGATCAGCAAAAGACGAGAAAGGGTAACTGCCCGACTGACGAGATCGCAAGGTTGAAACACATGTATCGGGCTCTCTTGGTCAGTTCTCTTTGATAGTCCACTGACATTCGTGGCTCAAAAAACAATTATCAGGTTTCAAAAACACTCTTAGAGAGTATACTGAATGTTTATAGAGTAGTGCCACTGGTTTGCAATCACCCGTTCATTCGAGATCATTTTGGGTTATAAAGAGGTCCAAAAGTAGGGCAAGGACGCCGTTGGGCTGTTCTTTGGCAAGAAATTCAAGATATAGTTGATTTCGCAGAACAGTTGATAGCGTTCAGAAGGAGAAGGTACCAGACACACGAGACTGATGATATGAGACTATTTTTGGCAAGGTAAAGTCTTAAAAAAAAGAGATTTTTGTAGAAACTACACTTCTTTCTCAGATTTCTAAGTCTTTTTCTAATTTTCACGACTTATAGAAGGAAAGAGGAAAAGAGAGAAGACTTGTTTGAAGTTGTATTGAGAGAAATCGACTCGAGTCATCGGCTCGAAGAAGATGAAACGTGAGACGAATATGCCTGCTGAATACTTTTAAGCCATGCATGAACACGTCTTTCGGCCTTGCAGTCTCGTTAGTTGCACGATGCCTTTTCATTCAGTCAGCTCCTCGGGGAACTTGCCCCTACGTAGAGGAGTCGACGACGAACATTTGTCACGCGCCGTCAAGTGATCAAAATCACCGAACGACAGTGATGTACACTCGACTGCTCTTGACTAGTAATCGTGAGTTTTTTTTTTTAACCTTTCGTTTCGAGTGCTCGAAAGCTATATTTCACGAGTATCAGCCGAGAGCAATCGAGTGTACAACACTGCCCAATCGATGATTCTATCACCTATCGGTGCGTGTAAAATGTTCGTCGTCGACTCCCCTACGTAGGGGTAAGAGCTCCGAAGAACTGACTGAACGAAAAGGCATCGTGCAACTGACGAGACTGCAAGGCCGGACTACCTGTATTGCACCATATAGGCGCCCATAACCGAGCTCATGCATGGCTCAAAAATAACCTGCCAGGCATACTAAAACTTGAGTGTGGTCTTGTAAACACGCGGTACGAATCGTTAGACAATTAAAAGATTGACTTCTGTCAAGTTAGTGCTATTAACTTAATCAATAGAGAACAATGATTGACTGATGATGTCAAAAAAAGGAGAGTCATTTTTGAAATCATTGATTTTTTGGCTTCTATTGAAATTATTGATTTTTTGGCTTCTATAGCCTCTAAGTACTTATTGCTACTATGACAGGTTGAGGCTTGAGAATAGCTAGGACTAGGAGAAAAGCGAGATGACGTCATACGACTCAGGAAATTCCGAGCATTCCAGGGACGATGACGACGTCGTTCGTCACAATGAAAGCCGAGCAACAGCCAGTCAGTCGAGTGACTAAGATGGGCAGACACGAATGCCTCCCCATCCCCATCGCCACTCCCGAAGACCCACTCGGCACGTGAAAGCAGCTCTCCTCGTTGAGCTGCTGCTCACAGCGCTTGTATTGGGTCAGCTTTGTCGCTCGCCGTGGAGCACATTTTCTTCTCTTGATAATCTTTTGAAATTATTTACTTTTATTACCTTGTAGCAATGGCAAGGTGATTTACATATACATCGAAGGATTTGTGAGTGATATGCAAAACATGGGCGCATGTGGCGCAGTGGTTAGAGGTGCTCTGCGTCGCACACAAGGTCAATGGTTCGATCTCGCGCTCATGGCTCATGAAGCCATCCATCCCTCCGGGGTCGGTAAATTGGTACCAGACAGGTCTCAGACTTGTCTCTGGGAGGATAAGCAGCACTGACTCGGTTCAACGGGAGGCCACCGTGAGTCATTGTAAAGGCCAGATATGCATTCAATCGCCTCAAACGAAGTTTAAAATTGAAGTCGAATGCATGGCGCATCTCTCAGGGATTGATCAACGCCAAGAGCTTTATCCTTTTATCCTTTATGCAAAACATTCGACCACGAGCGGACATTGTGCAGTGGTAGTACGCGCCCTCGGTATGGGTGGAAGGGTTCGACTCCCGCCCACGGCTGGATGTCTTTCGTACTATCAAGATTCTTGGAGGATCAAACAGAATTCCTTTTCATCTGAC